CCGTGCCTACTGTTCGCTTGACTCAATTATCTCTATCTTCAATCTATCTGCATATCTATCTCTATCACTGGATTTATTTGGCGGGCTTATATACTAAAAAAGAGGGCGTCTGGCAAACACTCGGACATTCGCGGGGTTCCTCGATAAGTCGTGATCCTTTTAGAAACTCCAGCGCACATGCTCCCAGCGTCGCGTGACTTCCGCTGTCGTAACAATATCATCAAACTTAAATTAGTTGTTCATCAGAAAGTAGAGGAGAGTATTCTTGACCAGTTGAAGTGGTATATCCAAAATATCTAGTGAGGACGGATTTTACTTCAGAATATTCATAACCGTGTTTATTCTCTCCTATATTGGAATAGAGGGACATATGGTAACAACGTCCAGGGTGAATAATACAGTGTTAGGACCAATAAGGGGGTTTTCGTTCTTTAATCTGTTGAGAAGTCAAAGGAACTGATTGTGTGGGAAGATAATTTAAAAGTTGGTGAAGGACCTTTTCTAAAAGCTATGATAAGGGAGCAAGGAAATAATTACATGTAGAAACTAAGGGCCTGAGAAGTGTTTCTATTTTATGTTCTTTAGGCAGTCCGTATAAGTTGGGAACTTTAGAGTGTGAAGGTATGATATCATTTAACAGCTATAGAGAGATACTAGAGTTAATTCTCGGGGTGTTTCAGTATGTCTTTAATTCTGTAATTGAGAAGTTTATCTGGGTTCTTGTTGAGAATCTTCACAGTCCTTACCGTTCCTTGATACCACAGTCTCTGTTGAAAATAACGTTATTAAAATGTACAAAAAAAACATGTATTAAACCATTGATGTTACATTTAAATTTACTCCATTAACTTAATATCAAACGCAGTATAATTATTGGACAACTTAAAAGAATTGAAAGAACTTGCAACCCAAACGACAATAAAACAACCACTAAGCCAGACTTAGGAAACTTCGCTGTAAGGTTACCCTGATAACTATGTTTCAGGAAATTTTAAAATGTTTCTTGCAAACAGAGTTGGGCAAAAGCAGTTCAATAAACCTTCACAGACTAAAAATGTCATCTGGACTCTACCCTTTGTCGATGAATTCGTCACTAACCATTTACGGAAAGTTATCAAAATATTTGGGTTAAATATTTATATTGTACAAAACCCGAGGATTACCCACACACACAAAATACTGTTCATTCGGCTTTTAATAAGAAAAAAAAAATATTGTAAATGAAAAATTGTTTTGCTAGAAACAATGGATTGAAGGACACTATTAATTTTAAAAATGTAGTATATGAAATATCATGTACCCAGTGTGATGATAAATACATTGATGACACCGATCGTCCAGTACATGAACGTTTAAAGGAACACATTAGTGCCGTCGCGAATCTTGATTCTACATTTAGAGGCCACTACAGAATACTTTCTAACGAAACATGGTACAGTAGACAAAACACCATTTAAAATTAATCTCTTAGCAAAATGTTTGAATTTCGCGCACAGCTACACGAGGGCTATCTGCGCTAGCCGTCCCTAATTTAGCTGTGTAAGACTAGAGGGAAGGAGCTAGTCATCACCACCTACCGCCAACTCTTGGGCTACTCTTTTACCAACGAATAGTGGGATTGACCGTAACATTATAACGCCCCATGGTTGAAAGGGCGGGCATGTTTGGTAGGACAGGGATGCGAACCCGCGACCCTCAGATTGCGAATCAACCGCCCTAACCACCTGGCCATGCCTAGCCTTTGCAAAATTTAATAGTTTCCTTGATCGTAATCTCAAAGAGTCTCTTCTAATTCAGTCTAATAAACCTAAGATAAACATTTGAAATTACTATTATTGTTGTTTGTTTGTACAAGCTGCACAGTGTCGGCTAACAATACGAAGAATTAATTTGTGGCGGAATGCTACAAGTTCTTCAAATACCTATAGAATGATAGATTTCTTTTTTGTGAGTGTAAAACACTTAAATACACCAGTTCGATTGCTGTTTTTGGTTGCAAAGCTTGCGATTTTCAGTTGCTTAGTCATTCCAATTCCTATTAATGTGCGTGCGATAACATGTAATATTAATATTGTTAAGTCAGGTTTTAATTGCTGTATGTGTTATTTTCACTTATCAATTCGTATTTCTATGCGACACTGTAACCCTTGAGAAAGGCTTAACACAAAATGTCGGGTTTGGATAATTTTGTTTTTTTCTGGAGAGTGATTGATGACGTTTTTTTGTAAAGAAATATATTTAAAACACTTTTCAGCGTATAACTGTAAATGTAACAACCATTATTTATACACGTGGCTTTTGTGGTCGTTTTCTTTGCAAAATTAATATTATTGTGAACAATTAAAATAGTGCTTTGTATATCTATATTTAAAGATTTTCTTTTTCATCAAGCTAAAGTAAAATGAACTTAAAACCCTATAAATAAAATAATGTTTTGCTTTTACGTGTATCTGAATGATGTTATTGTTTGTTGAAAGTTTTTGTATTACAATTATATGTCTTGTAAAATATTTTTGAAAAAGAGTACTGTATGCGTTCAGTGTCGATTGGTAAAAAAGATGTAGACTGTGTGCATTCGTGTCATTTATATTATAAGGTTTGACTTAAGGGAGTTTTATGGTCTTTTCGGTGAATCAGTCAAGAGTTCGGTATCAAAGAAACAACTTAATTGTGTAGCCTAATACTTGGTAGTTAAGCCTGAGTTTCATATTGTTTGGAAAAGTGAAATATTTTGTACAAGTGACTAATAAACCAGTTATCCAAATAAGTAATGCAGAGGAGGAATGGTGTAGGTCTAGCCACCTGGCCCATATGCTAATTGCACTGGAAACCAATCAAACGAGTTGAAGTTGTGGTATTGCTATTCACATTTCCTGATACGTAGCTTAGATATGCCATGTAGCTGAAACGGGCATGGCTTAGGAAGTGAAACAATCTTGTTAATCACAATTATATTAACCTATACATAGAACCTAGAAATATAAATGACTGAAAGGCATAAATAACAGGTCTGTACATAATCGATAGATAGAATCTGCTGATCTTGTAAAATCTCATTTGTAGGTTATAAATGCTACAATGTTATAAGAAACAATAGTTTTTGAACAAACCACAATACAATATTTAATTGCACAAACCACGAAGTTTTACAACAAATACTGGTTATAAACTTTCAATTGCCAAGAAAGCCTCAACTAAAAAATGCACAACACCAGACCTGTACGCAGAATGTTTGAAAGGTGGATTCTAATTTGTAAAATCAAAAGCTAACACATATTGTGCGAAGCACAATCAGCATACAAAGCATGCTAATGCTACGGGGTCTGGGGGCATGCGACTATTTCAAGCCATAAAATGCTAACGCTTCATCAGAAGAGTGTAGCCTATGTAGAAAACGTTAAATACAATATGCAGCT